TTTTGATAAAATTTGTATCTAAAAACATGTAACTTATATAGCATGCTTCCACAACCATAGCAGTTGCAATCGTGGGGCGCTTGGGACTTGACTAAATTATCAAGTTTCTTTTCCGCATTCACGCACTTTTACCACGACTTTAATCCACATTTATCTGCAAAGACATGACAACTTATTGACGCCTAGAATTTTAAAAGTACTTCCATAGGATAAGCCTTTACAAATGTCGTAGAAATAGCCGGTGTACTCATGAAACATTTAGTGGTCTTGCAAAAACGCTATCAACTTTCAATCAAAGGGCCATGTTCATTTACACCTTGTCAGCGAGTTGCTAATGCCGCCTCATTAAAAGTACAATCAAGAATATTTTAAAACCAGACAGGTGGCCACTGCAATCTAAAGGATGAACCCAGTTTGAATCAGCAATTCTATTTCGAGGGCGATGTCGCTGCCAACCAGAGTGGAACAGTTTTTTTGGCGAGATTGCTGAACATTTTCATGGGATTTACTTGAAGAAATCAGTGTGACAAACAGCACGGGCAATGATGGGATAGACTATAAAGTTGAATTGGGGGAAGATCAGAGAGACTAACAATCCAGGGAGATTTGAATGTCGATTCTATCAAGTGGATTGTCCCGCCTCATAATAGGGTGACTTTTCTATGCAGTCAATGCGCTGAAAATGGATCGAGATATTTACCTACGCTTTTGACAGTTTAAATAAATGCTTGATTGACAGCAAAAGGTGAAAACTTAGGTACTTGCGACTTGACCTATTTCCTGTTTTATTCCCAGGGGAATAATGATAAATTATTGTCTTGCAATGTAATATACCGAGTTTTGTTGATTTTACAGCCCAGCTGTTATCATGGTTTAAGTAAAAACAGACTTAGAGTAATTTTAGATTTAAAGACATCTGCTGGTCATTGTGTGCAAAATTACAGGATAATGTATGGCTCGTAAATGGCAGCTGGATCAAAACTCTTTTCATTTTCTAGGCAGTTAATGCAGTGCGATCACTCACGTTGTCAAATACTTTTTGATATACTTTTACTCGATGCAAATGTGAATTGTTACGGACGTTTAAGCGTTGCCCTTCAAATCGATTTACGTAGGAATATTCAAGTCTTGCTTTATAGTTTACAAGAATCCATGGTGAAATGCAGTATTTCATCTGTTAAGCTAGTCTGAACTGTTATAGCAGCCTTAAATTAATAATGAGCAATTTCTGCTAAACCAATTGACAGGGAATGTTAATTTGTGACGCATACTTGATTTTTTTCACATTTCTAATAAGATTTTAAAGCATAACATAGTTTGAGGGTGAATTGAAGTTGGCAATTTGAACCAAGTCTTTTTTGAGGAAAAAGAAAGTATCTATTGTAAGTGATACAAGTACATGGTAGACACCTGAAATGTATCATGTGAAATGCCCAGGAGGCTTGGTGAGGTCCTTGAAATATTCGGGATGAATCGAGCCTAGATCAAGTCGACACTCTGACTTGTGGTGGGGAAGAATGATTAAGCATGTATTGAGCTGCTTGATGCTGCTTTTCTTAATGGAGCTTAAAGCTCAGAAAAACTACGTTGTCGTTTATTTGGCAACCTGACGCATTCTGTTTCGTGTGATAAAGTGAAATGCGCTCCCAAAAGTCCAAAATGTTACACGTTAATGATAAAAGTAAAAAAATACACAAATTGTCCATAAAATTACTGAAATTGTGTTTGTAGATAAAATTTATTAAGTCCGTTGTGCTTTAAGATATGTAGTAACATGTAAAAAAATTGCTTTTTCCAAAACATTACAACTATCGTGTTGTTCTTCTCATGTAGAATAACGGCCCGGGTATTGGGTATTTCTGCCGAAGGGTTCAGGTTCGTCAAAAACGAACAGGAAAGTTAATCCGATGAAAAGGTTAAGCTTTTGTAAGTGGAAAAGTAATAGGATTGGTTACGTGACGTTTTGATTCAATAAAAAAATTTAGTTTGCTGTTCAATTTTTATTTTGACTCTTATGACTGTCTTGACTAGCCGTCTCGACTGACGAGTGATAACTCTTATCAAATGATTTTTATTTAACAATTATAAAGGTTCACTTACATTTACAGATTTTTGTATATTGACGTGAAAAGTGATCATTTTAAGAAGGACCAAAATTCGTGAGCATGAAATCTGAAAACTTTAATTTTAAACTACAAATAGCCGGTTACATTTTACCCACATAGGATTCCAAGTCATAATAAGTTAAAAGCATTCAAATCATAAAATTGATTTATTTAATCAAATTTAAATTCAGGTCAAATTTGTCCCTCCTCTGATAGGATTTGCTACGACCACCATTGATTTTACTATTTCCGAAGAATGATATTCATCCTTTCAATCGGCTGATCCAGTCGCTCTTTTTGCTTTCGTGTTTCCGTACGAATATAAATACGCAGAAAAGATACCGTATTAAAATACGTAGCATGGCATCTTGGCAATATTCTGGATAGCAATTAGTGGGTACTGATGACCGATTGCACAGGACAGTTTAAAACCCCAATCTTTATTTGCTATAGTGAGTCAAGGATTCTACTATGTTGTGCAAAAGAAATAAGACTGTTAAATTTTCTAATTTGTTATAGATTCGTTTTGGTTAATTTTTACAATATCGCAAGGTAAACTGACACCTTATGGTATTATTTATAAGTATTTCTTAATTTTAACTTGAATGTATAGGTTGCACAATTTGAAAAGTGTTTGCGATAAAATAACATGCATTTGTCATTTAAATCTTAAACGCCAAAACAATGCAACGATAAATTCCAGTGTGCCTATATGTAAAAAAATTAAAATTGTTTTATGTTGCTACCTTATAAAAAGTCTGACAAAAAATGCCCTAAATAATATCACTCATTACTTTGATTGCCAATCGAATGATGATTCTCATCCTTTTTTTCTATAAATAAGTTATAGTTTAAAAAGGGCAATGCTTCCATTAAAAGGCGAAATCGCTTAAGTGCTAATTTGAGTGAATCACACTTATTATTATTCGCGAAATACTGAACCACATCTATCCGTTTTAACTATTAAGTCTTCTAATTTTCATTTTTGATAATCTCAAAACTTGTTAAACCTTCCAGTCATAGTTTTTCCGATGTAAATAGAATGCTTTTAAGGAAAATGTAGTATTTGATAACTCTTTTGATAAATTAGAAGAATTTACTTTAAAGTTGCGAATATAGTTTAAATCAACCACTTATGACCTAAAAGGAACTAGTCGGAGGTCTGGTTTGCCTGGTTCTAACGTGTCTGCCTCGCATACTCTTAATTCTATGTTCCTTAGTGCGCTGAGAACTTAGACTTGTGAGCCAGTTCTAAACGATTTTATATAGCTCTAATTTATTTTCCTCGAAACTTATGTGCCTTTAATTGATCCCCGTAATTTTCTTCTATTTTTTTTATATTTATATGTGTCAAGCCACATCACATTCTCTTGCGTGTGCCCGATTTGTACAGGTATTTTGATCCATCACCTTTTATTGCATCACAATTAGCTACACAATTTGGTCTGCATAGAATATGAACTAGATATTTAAGTGGACACATAAGTGTCAAAAAAGGCAATTATCAATCATATCTGTTAATCGAAATGGGTAATTAATTTGGAGGAAAATCCTGGGATTGATTTTATTAATCTATGTAGTCAAAATTTCTCCAAGATGCATTACTTGAGTAAGGTAAATGATTTTACTGTGATCGGGTTTGGCAGGTCGATGTTCACATTAAGTGCTTGCTTTAGGGATCGCTCAGTAGGAGCTTTACTGCATTGAATTTCATTGGGGTTGCATCTCATTTCCTTTCCTCATTTCCCTTCCACAATTGGATTTTAAGTGTCGTCTTTTCTAAGAACAGTTTACATTACTTTGTTACATAATCTACTGGGCGTTTATTTTTATTGCGATCAGCCTGCCTAACACCCGAAATTTTTGAATTTCTAATTGACGTGGCAATGCGCTCGTTGATTTAACTGTACACACTTATTCATCCTAAAGACATGAAAGTTTGGTTATTCCGAATTTTTGGACTTGAAGTTTATTAATAAATTTTGCTAAAATCTACAGATTTAGAATGCAATATAGATATTAAAGCCTTTTCTTCTTGAACACCGTCACTCGTGTTCCCTCATCGCTTCAAAGAGTGTTTTACAAATTGCTGTTTCTCTTTCAAAAGCCACGTTATTGAAGTCGAATACGGGACCCAGCGTTATAATTTAACTGACCGGGTTTAAAACTATTAACTCTGTTCAACGCATATTAAAACATGATGGTTACTGTGCCGAGAAAATTTACGATTATGTCGTACTTTACAGAAACCGCAGTGAGCTTTCTGCCATAATGCATAAATTTTATTTTGAGTGCAAAATATGCTTTTTATTTAAACACAAGTCGTCGGTTTCTGTTTTAAGTGCTTTCCGAGCTTAAAGCTATGCACCCCAGTTATTTTGTAAGCTGCTTCTAATGATTCCCTAGTTGACAGGTATCTTACTCTGAGAAAGACGTGGGTTGACAGATGTTTTTATTTTCAGTAATTAATACATGTGTATTTGTCATGAAACAGACAATAAAATATATTTGTTTTGCACTATTATGTCGCAGAATTCTGATTTGATCACGGTGGCACTTGTATCCTAGCGACTCATTTTAGTATCTGACCTTTTTGATCTACTGTACGTGCAGCGCCTTTGGGGCTCCAAACCCATCCCTTCGTGCACTGTGCCCTGTGGTTGAGTGTACAGGCCATTGCAGGTATTTGGTACCCGGTGGTTATTTGAGAGAGCAGCATATGTTTATTTCACGTGTGTGGCACTTTTAAGCAGCGTGATTCCCCTCCTCCCCGTAGCCTTTGCCATCTCCCGTTATGGAAGAGGAGAGCCACTATGCTATAATTTAGCACCGTCGACGTACCTATGCTGTCACTTTTTGTTTTAGATTACTATCAAAACAAAATTGGAAAGCGTAATGTCGGAAATTCCAAGTAATTTATTGCTTTCTTTCACGAATGCACCACCTCTAGACAGCGTAATACCAACTTCGCGACTAAATAGTGTTGAGGAACCGAGTACTGGGGATTTCATCAATCCCGACTTCGAATTCGATCAATTCGAGACGGAACTTGCTGCGACTGATGGTACGAACAATCTCATTACCTTTGCCTTTTTGGAATTACTTAAGTTTTCTTAGTATTACGAACTTATCATGCAATTTCTCTGAACTTTTACATCAGATGTCACTTGATTTGCACATATTTGTTCGGGTTTTAGTTTGTAGATTTGGGTTGTTTTTCCACAATAAAGTTTTCTCAACAGACCTTCTGGTTCCGGTATCATGTGGACATCTTTAAAGTCCCACAGGTTAAAAATCCTTGCCAGACTATCGGCCCAGGATTTCAGACGCTCCACTTAAAAATGCTAGTTTTACCCTTTGCAATGAAACAAACCAAACCAAAACACAAGGGCGTGTTTATCTCTGGACTTAGATCTCTCTAGGGACTTTATTTCTCCTACAACGTCGAAATTTTTTTATCATCGGTAGTGACGCAAAGCCTGAGAGTGAACCAATGCTGTTATTGACGAGCTGTCACCCGTATCCACTCGCTTTTCTGATTACGCTCCAAGTGAACCGTTAGAAACCCCTCCATTGGCGTGGCACTCTAGTGAGAGTTGGTGCCTCGCCTTTACGCTTATGCTTGTGCACTTTTCGCAGGAGCTCATGCGACTATGCGGATTCATTAATTAGGCTATGCTGCGTGCGTTTAGCGGGTTGTTGGCGTGTTTTTCTTTTCAATAGGCAAGCGCTTTTAGTTCTTTCATCTTACTGCCTCTGACCATCTCATGACAACGCGCATCATTTTGCTTTAGAGAAACGCTTTTGAACACCTATCTTTCAAGTCGCCTACCTCTGCAGCCATTCTCTTGTTACTATACTACAAATATCCAATTGAATTAACAAACCCACACCACATAAAAGTATAGTCAATAACCATAGGTTAGACACTTACATTTCACCGGCACACGTAAAATTAACCAATATACTAATTTTGTGGTGGCATACATCGATCAACGTCCAAAGTTACGCAAAAAAACATGACCGACCAGTCACTTAGACGTAAATATTTACCTTACACTTTTTCCTTTCGGATGATTCTGTCCATTCTCGCCGACGTACTCAAATTTCGTATAATTCCGATTCAAATTTTCAACTAAATAAAAACTCCACTATTTTGTTCTTTTTTTTCATGTACTACGTTGTCTTTATGGCCCCTGCCTTGAATGAATCAATACTTTCGTCTTAAAATGTGCCAATTCGTCTTCCTCTTCTGTTACCGATCTGAATCGTGTGTCGGTTAAACTTTGATTGGCCTTGTGCTATCTGACCTCGACCAATTGAGTCCGCATGCAAGTTAACCTGCGATAATTTCTTTATGAAATCGGAAATTTAAATTAGATATCTTTTATAGTTTGGTTTTTTTGGGGAACAACGACTGCGGAAAAGCCTTTCCCATTGCTTTGCCTCCAGCCTTCAAACAACTTTGAGATTCTAATGGAATCACATTGTTGGTAGTATCTGTCTTCCTTTTCTGCGATTGATTCCATAACTGTGTCTTTTACAACAACTTTATCGGACAAAATTTATTTTTAATTTATTTGCTTTCTTAATCCGAATTCCATCCCTCAATAAGCTTTGTGCTGACAATTGAAGGAAATATTTCTTGCTTTATGCGCTTTCATTCTGTTTAGCGAACCCCAGCAGGGCCCTGGGTCTGTATGCGCAGGTAGGCCTGTGCAGTCCGATCATCTTGTTTCCATTTAATTCATCTAACCGCCATCTAGTAGTCTTCCGAAACACTCAACGTTACCACTTCGGTTATGTCAAGGTGGTGGTCAATGTTTCTAGATTTGGCTCTGCATTAATGGTTGAGAATACTCTGGTACCTGAATTAGTTACTTAATGTGGCCTGCTTGTTGCCTACCAACGAGCCTTGCATCCACACTTGCCCCTCGTCTTTCACGCCGGTCTCTTGTGCCTACTTTTAGATTTTCCAACAGGCCTAGTGACGGTGCATGTCGAGGTGGTCACCGCATGTTACTTGACGAGGATAGGCCTTAAGGCAAATGCTCCATCTCTCTGCCATATCCACACGTGAAACTCGCTTTCCGCATTTACTTAAATCTATTATATAGCCTAGAAAGCACCATAAAATTAAAGTTAATTTTACCAATTTTACATCTTTTTCATTTGACTTTAACCATTAAAGCGACAATGCCTACCTATTAGTCGGACTTATTAAAATTTAATTATTTTTTTTCCTATTCTCAAAGTGAACAGCTCGATTATAACTTATATCCGCCTTTCTTTGTGGCAATGTGCCCTCGCTTCGCTTTCCAGGCTGATTGTCACACATGTTCATGTGACAAAGTTGCCAAAATTCTACTGCATAAGATTTGTGTCTCGTAAACAGCACTGGGCGTCCATGGGAGAAGCTCCTCTTAGTTCTGGACATTCATTGTTTCTGTTTCGTCGCATATCATTGCCAAGTATGGGCCCAAGCCTCGCTTAGAGAGTGAGGTGTCGATAAATCATCAAAGGCGATAATCCCATTTAATTGCAATTTGCTTTGGGTGTTCCTATCGGTGTTATTTGCCTGGTTGCTACGGTAACGCGCTTTAGTCAACAAACACTTACTTTCTATTTGACGGAGCTACTCTGTGTTTCATTAGGCCTTACGAGGACGCTTCTAAAACAGTAATTTTTCAGAGTCCTTGCGCGCATCTTTAAGTTAATATTGCGCGAACATTTTAAGGAGTTTTTTGCAAACATCTGAGTAAGTACTCAGTAATTTTTCAGTCAGCCACTTCATCACCTGTTTCCCACAAACTCTTGTGTCCACCATTCGACAGCAGCTTCAATGTTTTCGTTTGTATTATTGCATAGTTTACTCTTCAATCACCCATTGTACCCTGTTGTCAAATTTCCCTACATGGGTGCACAGCACTGTCCGAAAATTGTTGAAAAAATAAGCGCCTGCTTATACACAGTGAAAGGATGAAGCAGGAATTTGGCTAATTTGTGTAAAGGTGTGCACCGCGTTCGGATCCAAGTTGGAGTCGGCTCGTAGATAACTAAACGGTTTGTCAATGTGGCCGGTTTTGTCTCGGGTTCGAAAGTCCTAGTGACTTGCAACTGGTCCCGCGGACCCTAATTACCCTCATGTTTTAGCCCACGTAGCTCCAAGCCCAACTTCCCCTAAATCTTAGACAATTGCAACTCGTTTGTGCTCTAGCAAATATCATTTAAGTCTGATGTTCTGAATTTCCGACATCATTCCGTGTTAAAGTCTGATGTTATAAATCAATGTCCTGTCCTCCGCTTTCTTGCTCGCTCTCCCAGCTCAAGTATCGTCGATGGGTAATTTTTTCACTTCAAAATTGTACATTTTCGTTTTCTTCTTAGTCATTTTGCACCCCGATGATTAGTTTGTTTTGTTTCCTTAACCTGGCACCAGTCAAGGCCGAGTGTGACTGCGCCGGGGGCCGAATCTCGCCGGAGGGGTTCGTTGAGGAGGACTTCGAAGCCGAATTGGGGTGCACTGCCGCCCAGGTTAGTCCATTGCCAATCACCTTCTCTTCACCAACGCTCAGTCTGCCTTCTTGCCTCTGTCTAGCCATCTGGGTGGTTTCCCTCGCTGCGAGTGGTTGGGCCTGTTTTGGTAGTGCCGCTGTCCTAGCACACTTTTTGCTAGGACAGCGGGACTTCTTTGTGCTCCAACACAAAAATAATCCTCCCCTTGTCACTCGACAAAACTATGCAACTCCATCACCACATGATGGTACTCCAGTCCGCTATAACGCGCTGGTGCAAAATTATGTTGGCAATGCGAGCTGAGACCGAGCCTGGGGGAGGTAATGGTAAACCTGATTCATTTGCAATTAAATGCATTCGTCGGAACCTTCTTGCACTGACTAGGCCGAGGAAGGCCCACGTTTGTTTTGCAATACATCACTTTTCTTTTAACTCGACTGCTTACAAGCACCCACGTGCAAGTACACTTTTACGAACCAACTCAAATGTTCTGCTCAAGCCGCATACCCAAGTAGTTGTGAGCTTTCAAGAAGTGTTTATTAATTTTTTTAGGAAGTAACTGTGCAGGAAGCCTTGGACGTTGAATATCAGGATATTGCCCGATTGGGAGTGATTCAAGTTGCGGGGGATGACCGTCTTGGTCGCAAAGTTGTTGTCTTCTCTGCGTGTCGTCTGCCACCGTTTGACAAAGTTGATTACCAACGGTTGTACGAGTACGCTGGCTCCTTCGTTTAATCTTGTGCTTTGTCTGGGTAGTCGTGGGCACTAATCCAAACTGCCGTTGCCTTGCTGCGTCCGCATATCTCCATCGAATTTCGCAAATTTGTCCCAACTGTGAATGATAATGGAACGAAATCCTGAAGTAAATTATCTACATGTTAAGAGCTACTGAAATTATGGAAGTAGCCGTTGTGCTCTCTTGTATAGAATGACAGAGAAGTACCAAAAACAATTCAGCGCTTTACCTGTCAATCTGTGTTTCTTTTCATTTTCAATAGTTACACCAGGAAGACGTTGCAGCAGTACGTAGCAAACGATTACTCTCTGGTATATTTCCACTACGGTTTTACAAACGAAAACAAGCCACCGCTAAAGTGGATGATTCAGGCTTACCGAGGGTTTGATCGAAACTTCAAGAAGAACCTCAAAGCCCTCTACATCGTCCACCCAACCGTCTTAGTTCTATTCCTCATTAAAGTCTTCAAACCTATCATCAGGTAGGCCTCACATACAAGCAAAGCTCTTTGCTGCATTCGATTGCGTCGTCAGTTTAGCGGAGCTTGCGGTACAAAGCCTCGGTTGCCAAGATGTGTCGTCCCGCAGTCGCAGTTCTTGCACGATCCGGTTCTTAGCTTTGTGCCTTTGTCGCTACACCAAATTGAGCACACACATGCACACACACACACACACCAGTGTGCTTTGTGGCCTTACTTCCAGACGACGAAGTGGATGTTGTTGAGATCCCGAGTTTGCGGACGTTGTGGGAAGCAACATACCAGACGGACTTGTATACGTAGTAAAATCCCGTATTAAGCGAGCAAGTTGGTTCCCCTCCAACTGCTGTCGACCTCTGTTACTTTGGTGCGAAACTAAATGCTTTTGTTTAACCCGTTAAGTTGTTTTCGTGTGACATCAGTAAATAGCACCTTCAGGTTTTTTTCACATTTATGTCAAAGCCTTACGACACCATGAAGTTTCATCCTCTCAGTTTCGCCTTCTTTCGACAGTTTATGTGCCCCACCATTCGTGCCAATCCTAGCCCATGGATTTTGTTCTTTTAGTCTCAAATTCGGCCGGAAAATTAACTTCATCAATCAGCTCGATGAATTATCGGCAGACATGCACCTGGATCAGGTTCCGATCCCCCAACGTGTTCGGTTGTGAGTTTAGTGGATTTTATTCTTAATTGCGGCGTCGTTGCAATTTCGTCTGTTTACAAGGGTCGTGCAACATACAGCTAGCCCCTTTCGATGGATTCGGTGTCTCATCATAGTCAGGAATATGACATCGTACCAATTATTTCACACCAGTGTTCTTATTCTCTTTTTATACGTTCGTTGGTTTTAGCTGTTTTCAGCTTCCTGACCACAGCTTATGTTGGAAAAAAGGTACAGTGATGGAATCCTTCTGTGTAACTTTTACCTCGAATCGATTTACCCACATTATAAGTCGGCGCATTTTCGCGCTAGCTTTAAGTTTTTTGCCAGTTCGTAGCATATTCTTCCACATACTCAAGCAACGACGAGCTTACTCTGCAACCTCCTGTTTTGGCCGACCCCTGAGACCCGTTGTCCGCTTTGCTGATTCCTTGCGATAGTTTTCGAGCGTTCACTGTTTCACAGCTCACACTTTCGGCGGGGGGGGGGGAATATTTGTAGCAGATTAACAGCGATCGCGCCTGAGTGAAGCCTGGTTGGCGACCTGGCGGTGACAACGACTCATCTCCTCTATATTCGTTACTGTTATCAGATGCCTGTCATCCGTTAACCATCCACACGGTAAGACACTTGGATGGCGTGATGCTAATAAACGGTCGTATCCCAGGTCGCCTCTCTTCACTCCATTCTCGGGTTGTTACGGGCTGTTAATTAGAGGGTTGTTAATTAGTGCTAGACACAAGCCACTACAAAACGTCCATGCCCGTTACTGAGTCTTGATTAGGCCACCACTCGAGTTGCGCGACGCCCCGGCATTTTTCGTCCGAAAAATTGTCCAGATAGCCCTCTGTTGAAACCAGATTCGTTGAATTAACTTAATCCCTAGGTCCTAATCCTCGTGTCGCTTGCATTTCTCGTTAATGATATCCTTAAGAAAGCTTTCATATTTAAATTTTGACTCTGGCAGAGCATGCACGCAAAAGTAGAATCTAAATTTACGGGTTAGACCCTGTAGAACACAGCTTTCCCGTGCTTGACATGATCTAATTGGTACGCGATCTCTTTGAATGGCACTTTGGCTATGTCCATTGCAGATATGACTCTGACATCTCGCGATTAAAAGGCGCAAGTATCTCTAACGACCCCTACGCGAAATTCACAGCCTCGCAGTCCGGTCAACCAGTTCTGCCTCTCAAAAACCTCAAAGCTCCCGTCATCAAACAACCTTGTCCGACCCAAGTCTTTGGAGTTTCTCTCGAGTTGTAAGTCAGGCCAACCCTATTACTCACCCCTCTGGTGCTGTTTGTAAATTATCCAAAGTGGAATTCTCTTTGTTCAAGCATTATGAAAAATAACAACAACGATCCTATTCCTGCAGTTCTTCGAGACTCGGTTGACTACATCCGCCTGAACTGTGAGCTCGTTTTCGGTGTCGCATTTTTTTCTATGTGCGGTGTATATTGCGTTGGTTTTTGACCTTCATTGTCTACCTTTTAGGCCTAGACGTGGACGGAATTTTTCGGAGGTGTCCAAGTGCAACCCTCGTGAAATCGATACAGGGAGCCTATAATGCAGGTAAGACCATGAGCCACTTAGTTACAATCTTAACATCGAAGTAATTGACCGCCTTAAGGTAGCGTCGGTTCGACGTTTTTATATTGAATAGATGTCACATTTCCCATGACCTCTAATAGGAACAATAATCACTAATGCGAGACAGAACCCCCTGAAAGAGAGGAAGATGGAGACGCGGAAACGCGAGGTTAATTGAGCCACGAGCCAGGGCAACTTGAGATCGGTGCCACCGTGGGTCGGTACTTCCGCTGTCACCGCACAGCGGTGTTCTCTGAATGCGACGTAAAGTGGAGTCAAATGCTCAACCGCTAGGGTCGTTGCCTCATAGCTAATCGATACAGTCTCGAATCCTCCTGATACTAACTCAAATGAGGCAATAATAGGAAAACTTGTCCATTATTGGCACTTGTTCTCGAAAGCGCCTTCATGGAAAACCTTGACAGTCCCGGTAGTAGCATGTTGAGGAGGTTCGGAACCTATTCTACCTTCGCCGTGCATGGCACCCAGAAGCCGTCTTATTTTTCACTGCACGATTCCTACCCAGCGGTTTCCTTACAGGCAGGTCAGTCAACTTCGAGGCGTTCGCAGACCCCCACCTACCGGCGGTTCTCATCAAGACGTTCCTTCGCGAACTAAGTGAACCACTTCTCACTTACGAACTGTATGACACAATTCTGGGCGTTCACAGTAGGTTTCTCGTTTCCTGCAATGCCAATCTTCCCTAACTTATCTAGGTGCTATAGCACGTTACATTTTCCTCATTACTAAATACTAGTAGTAATTCGGGTGAAATTTATCAACTGTCAACCTAAACCCTTAGAACTGTGGTGGGTGTTTTATTCGGTTAAAGAAATCCTGTAGCCAAAATCATTACATCCACGATATGTTAGCGGTAAAACGAGCACACCATTCTTAGTCTGACTTAATTTGCGGAGGGTCATGGCAACCACAAACGAAATAATGCCTATTCTCTCGAGTTTGCACGCTACTTGTTGTAAGTTGCCAGTGTCCCCTGTCCTTTTAACCCGCTTTTCCTGCATCCATTGTGACTGTTAACACGCCTGTTTATAGATTTGCCGTGGGAGACAAGACTGGAAACAGCACGCGAACTGATTTCCATCCGTCTGCCTAATCCGAATTACGTTGTTCTGAAGTACCTGATGAACCTTTTGACAGAAGTAAGTTGAACTTACTGCCATGTTATGGGCAATTTTGGCAGTCCAACCGTTGCTCCCAATATCTCGACTCGTTTTCTCGGTCATAATCAGCTTTATAAGGTGACCCTTCCAAATTTGCAGCTAATCATATTTCACGTTTTACGACGACAAAACCACGCCAAACACATGTTGTCGTGGACCACTTTCCTTCCGAGCTTAATTGGGCCTCCTTCAATCTCACTGCAGTTTTATTCAGCAATCCCGACAGCAAACAAAGAAAACAGAAAAAGCATAACTGGTTGCTCCCTCTTTAGACACCGTGTCACTCATTTCACCGCAAATCTGAATGTCCATTAAATGTACACACTACCTGATACTTGCCTCGTTCACAAATTAGTGCGCCCGGAGGTCTATTTTTGGGCACTGAAACGAATGTTGAGTACGTAACCAGGCGATTTTCCGACCCATTGAGACAGCCTTTTCTAGTTGACGAACTGATTAAGACATTCGAATGGCTAAGTGCCTGTACCGACTGCAACTCCTCATGCTCTTGTAGGTGTGCGCACACTCGAGCCAAAATCGCATGACGGACGTAAACCTGGGCATTGTATTTGGGCCCAATTTGCTCTGGTCTCGATTTGCTACCGTCTCCTCGTTTACTGAGGTGTGGCAGGTAACTGCGTTTGTGCAACTTCTAATTTCAAATTATGATGACGTCTTCGCCAAATGAACTCTCGCACATCCTTATCGTTGGTGCGGACGCGCCAGCACCCTTCGTAAGAAGGCACATCTTGTCTTTCGCGCGAGTCCGTCCCTTGGAAGTGGATTTCCTGCTTTTCCGAGTAGTTTTTTGTCTTGTATATTTTATGATCATTCTATAACACTTCCATCGTTATTTTCTATTTATTTTACGAGTCCCTATAATGTACCCTCCACGCTTGTTGTTGAATATGAAAAGTCGGTTGGCTTTTGATTCAGGTTAGTATTGGTTGTCAGTGCGGCTTCGATTCATGATCTTGGTTGCGCTGCACTCACATTCTGATCTCCAACATTCATCAGCGGAACCGTCAACTCATGAAGTAGTCAATCAAAACTTCGCAACCAACCCAGCGGATTAGCACTCCTAAGTCGATAAATCTGCCAGGGTGAAACGACCGTTTCAATTTTAGCTATGCGAATATCTATTGGGTCCCTTAATAATCGTTTTTAAAACAATCGTTCAGCTATTGGTTTTGCCTAATCAAGTGATTGTGAAATACATAAGTATAGGTAGGAAGGTCCCCAAACATAAGTGCAGGAGAGCAGGCACAAGCTACCAAATATGATTGCACCTTGGGTTCATGAAAAGGGGATCGACAAGGAGGAAATGGGGGCTGTTCAAAAATCTTCCTCGTCAGAATCGATGGCAGCTCGTCGGCGATCAAACTGAAACAATTGAAAAGCTAGGGACAAGTTGAATATCCGAGCGTACCTTGACTTCTGTTGTTTTCTTAGAATGGGATGCGATGTCGTTCAATATATTCTTGAGTTGTTCATCCGTAATCTAACGAAAAGGATGACTGGTTTACATGATGTATTGCAGCATATGATGCTTTTAGTCGACCAGCAGAGGAGCCGTAAGAAACTTAAATGACTTTTGAGGGGCCTTAATCGAGTATGTGAATTAGTTTATTCATAGACAAGGTCAGTTAGAAAAAAAAGAGATGTGGATACTACCAGCATAGCATTCGAACCACTAGATGTCAACTAACTATGCACATACATTGACAACAAAAAACATCTGTATTCTGAATCTGGCCTAATTTATCATCTCAATGGGTATTTTCATAAAGGGACTAGTGCACATCAATAAATTTGGATTAACCCAGAGACCGACAAAACAATTAGGGGTTGACTCTCATGGACCGGTTCACGCATGTGCACTGAAACTGCCAAATACAATTTTTCATCAAGGTGGACTACACGATGAGGTCTACTTCTTGCTATAGATACATCATGGGACGAAATTTACGCAGAAAAAAATTGGAAGCAATGAAGTAAAACGTTAGCGAGTGATCGACTGAGGGACCGTCAATTCTAACGGCAGGATTGTCTCAATTTGACATTTATTATGATGGCCTCCTATACTACTGCGTCAGTTTACGGAATTAAAATAATAAAATAAATACAAGTCTAAATTTTACAATGCTTGTGAAATGTTGGGGTGTGAAGCCAAGTGGAAAATGAATATACTGTAAACTGGTAAAAAATGAACAAGTTGAGAAACTTGTTTCGAAATATGTTTCACATGTAACACCAAGTACTATGGAGACAGCACGTGCTTTAGTCTAAATGAGTTTACAAAAAAACCTCGGATTTTCTATCGGTAGGTAGTAGCAAATCAAATTCTTAAAAATCAGGAAGGCTATGGTAGAACGACATAACGTGAATCATAAAATAAGTAACATAATATACATATTTAAGTGCAAAGCAGATACCTGACCAGAAATCCTTTGAGTGCGAGCCATGTTGATAAGCATATTCTCAACAGCTTTTGCTCTATCCGGTTTGGTCATAGCAAGTGTATTAACTACAACTCGATGATGAATGTGTACAAACAGACATACGACGAGCCCTTGCTTGTTGATCAAGAATCTGGCTAAGGAAGTCGTTTTTCATTTCCTTTTGTCGCCTCTCCAACTCCTCTTTTTGAGCCTGCTGTTCATTAGTTACCTAGTAAATAGTGTCATTGTGATGAGCTTGAAGAACCTTCCCGTCACCGCTATCCGACAACATATTTCAGGAACTGATGTAGGCTACGAATGACGGCGTGTCCAGCATCAGCAGCCAATGACATGAGAGTTTTGGTGGTAACTAATCAGTTCTCTATTAATTTAAAAGGGTCGTCCAGAGAATCAGTTTAGGTCAATGGTACCCATATCAAAGCAAATAACGCACAGCAATTTATATTCTTACGCTTTTTTAGTTATTAAAAAAACTTACATCAACTCCTTTGAAGTGGTCACGTGTTTTAGTTTATTACAAAATCAATTTTATGGCGAGTTTGTTACTAATTGCCAACCCATGACCCTAAGAAGAGAAAAACACAAAGATTGTATGTATTTTTTGTAAATTTACAATAAAAATTATAATTAGAAACAAAATCAAGGACCAAAAGTAGGTTGTTCTGATGGAACTCCGTAATCAAATCAAAAGGTTAGGTTTCTGGGAATTGCCGAGGATATTTCCGCCACTTAAAACTACAAAAATTTGTGTTTTTAGACCATAGAGAGTATAAATTTGTGTCTGTATCTAGGGTTGACATCTCTAAACGCAGAGATACCATTCATTTGGTTGGTCTTTATTTTCGAATGCATTTCACTCACCACCAAACATGTCTCAGGATGTTCATTCTACCTTCCACTTATGAGCAGGTTCACGTCTCTCAGATTTACCTGTTGTTCGTTTGCTATACGGTGTTGGTTAGTTTAATAGCTCAGTGTTTGATTTAAATTCTGTGTAGAACCTTTTTTACCTCTCGGCTGCGGTAATTAAACCGTATATCCTTACTTAAGGTCTTTCTATTAGTCATTAGGTGTTGTGTTTCTGTGCTGTTTAATGTAAAAACAATATCATACGGCAACTTTCTGGTCGCACTGACTTAGAAATCGTCTATTTTATGTGTTTCAAAACATTCTAAGTACCATATTATTCTTTATAAGCCCATTACGTCTCCTTTTGATGAAATACTGCAGGCCCAGTAACTCCACTTACTACCAATTTTACCTCACTGAGAATGACATTACGCTGGATCGCTGTGCCATATAGGGATCCGAATGTAGTGCGAAAATTCTTTTTCACTTTTCATCAACCGCTTTTGTAAAATCTCTTGAATTTTCAATGAGCTATTTTAAGTTTGCAAGACATGCATGTTCTTCCTCTGCATTTGCTTGCACATTTGGGTACCTGATTTATTTTCCAAAGTTTGCTGTAGTAAATTGGCGATGAAATAAAGTTGAGTTTATAATTTAAATCTCTTTGATAATGTCACACTTTTCAAACAAATCAATTTAGCAAAGGTCTAATTGTGGCCTAAATTACCCCCAGAACATCACTATGAGTCTATTTGGCCCAGTATGTAGGCATGATCACTTTCCATGTTCTGATGACTGTCGAATTGGATTATGTTAACTAATGAATGGTGGACATGATTATGGGGGGTAGAGCGGATGGAAAATATGTAATATACTACTCAGTTCTCTTTGTTCTTATTCACACGTCTACTTTGAATGTCTCATGACGAACGCATTTATAAACTGTAACACATGTTAAAGATGCTCTTTTCATTTATTCAAAGGTATGTGCTTTTTAAGGGGTGTAACTAGTACTACCAATTCTGTCAATTTTAAAATGATCATTGGCTGATGGGTTTTGTGTTTTCTAAAAGTTGCTTCAAGGTCATTAATACATAAGTGTTGTCAATCAGCCGGATTTTCGTCACATTGGGCCTTCATGAAATTTAATTTGACGTATTTTACATGCATAAGCTATTTGTTTATGGAATAAACTTAATTTGTAGGCGGGGTCATCTAAAACAATTTTTCGAATCCCGAAATTTTTTACGACACCAGCTTGGTCCGAGAAAGCTCTACTTACATGGTCCTAACCGCGTGAACAAAGCGAGGTGTTCATCATTGGTCCACCACCGACTCTCGATTGTGTCTTTGAATTCCCACAATAAAGCTTCTTAGTGCGCTTGTTGTGGTGCAAAAATTCACAACTGTATCTAATATTGGAACTGCTAAATAACTGTTTCTAAGTTCACGCGTACATAGGCCTACATTGTCGAATCACTTGCGTCTTAATGGTTCACGATTACTCCAGTTGTCATTACTTTTTGTCTCGTTTTATTTTGGAGGGTCATACTGTGAGACTGGTATCTTATTTCTATTTTCTTCAACAAGTTGTAAATCGCTAGGGAAATAAGCAAAGGCGCAAATATTCTGCGGAACAGTATGACTTTTAATAAATATACTGGAATGTCTGAATACTACAATTGACTTCAGGTTGTACCGCACTGTAGTATATGAAATTCCATGTTTAACTTCCGGAAAGTTTGATTGTGATAGTTTTGTCACATACATCTGACTGCTCCAAACAAGGTGCATTTTCTCCACCCTATTTTTGCCTTTACAGTCAAACATGACCGAAAATTGCACTCATAAATACATGTGCGGCAAAGAAACGCATTACTATCGTGCATCTGCCAATGGGAAAGCGCTTTTCTCTGGGCTACCACAACTTCCAAGAAGGACAATTATCTTGTCACATTAGTTCTTCTGTGGCTTCAATTTAAGGGGGGTGGGCGGGAAGGTAACGAGAGAGATATGCGATCTAGACAGGGGTGGTCAGTGACTGGATACTTTTGGTCACATTTTAACCAACCCACAGGGAAGACCAAAATTAATTATTTGAAGTAATCGTGTTATGCTTACTTTGACATTGGCACAGAGACTGTTTTTGAACAACCACCAAAAATGTTCAGAGTAAACGAAAAGTCAAGAGGAACAGTGAGCAAATCACAATGTACGGAACCACTTGGTCCAACCTTACTTTAAGTCAAAGTGCTTTTTTGGGCAGTGGACAAGCTCAAAGGATTTACCAATCTTCCAACAAATGATGCTGCTTCTGTTTGTGCATAATGCTTAGACGGATCCACACCAATGACGATTGCATTCGGCCCAAAAGAACTAGCCTGATAACTAGCATAGGTTAACCCGTGGTACCTGTCAATTTATCTGTAGGCATCTTTTGTAGAATTCGACCTGACAACGAACTGGCCTGTAAAACTTGATTCGACAAGACTAATGAAACCTGGCTGAGAGCGTGGTGTTAAATTCCGTTTAGATGCTCTTGGTTTTCTGGGTGTGAAGAGCGGGTCGGAAGCGACATGCAAGTGTGCGTTGTCAATATCGGTATTCACACAAATGTCGATTGCCTTTCGGTCAAGTAATGTGAGTCGGGTGTCTCCAGAGAAGAGTTCGAAGTGGAAACCTGTTCTAAGCTTATCAGAGTAGAATAGTACAAATGTGTCAACCAAGTAATCCCGTTTCGAAGCACCATTAATATCAATTAAAAATTAATTGATGGAAAGTCCAATTTGGGTGGCTATCGCAAAACCATGAAAGTCCACTTGCTATGAAAAACTTTACCATTCCTTTTGAGAAATGGAAACCACTTTTCATCTCTGGCCCTATCCGATCTTTTATTTGTTTGGTTTAATATAGTGCACAGAAATACGCTTCATTCTTCAACTAATCTTAAAAATGGCAGCCTTCGTGTGTTCGGTGCTGCATTAGTTAGTAATAAACTGCTTTCGCAAAGAATCATTGCTTCCCGCAGTCCTCCCTAAAGGGGTTAAAGCGTAATTAAAAGAAACACTTTCAAAGCACTGAGTTATGTTTGGATAACAAACAATGACCTTTAAAAACCCGTGTCTATTGCAGGAGTAGGCCAGTTCTGTTGACTTCCAGGCTACCTTTGCAGTGTTCCGAAGTTGAAGCGTCACAATTAGACGTCAGGTGTAACAGTATAACGGCCTTTGAGCTTTAATCAGCTTAAATCGAAGGAAAATGAGGGACACTTACGAACAAGTGTTTAATGGGCCTTAACAAATCCTGCGGAAAGCTAAATTACTTGATCTCACCTACCTTTTGATCGCACAGTAAATTGAAGTTTTTAGATCTCGATGCTGTGGAGTACTCAGCTAAACGACGAAGCAAGCGATGGTCCATCATTAAGGATTCTCAAACACTGCAATTTTTCATAACTGCCAGTTTCTGGTTAAGTGGTAGAACCAAGTCTGTTGGTAGATTCAGTTTACACATTCCTGGGTTTCGAAAGGCGTTAAAAAATGTCTAATTTTGTAAATTTTCGGGTCATTTTCGGCATGATGTGACCATTTGATTTCTTCTAGTCTCCTATGGTCTGTTATGCACTGATTGGTGTTTGGGATTTGATTGTGTTTCTTCATGCCCAAGAACTATAATACACAAAGTGGTCACAGTGCCACAAGCCTTTAGCTGAGCGTGTCCGAGAAGTTGCAGAGGAAACCTGCTTCACCTCACTCATTTCGAGGTGCTGCTAAAGTGAGGGTGTAAGGAGGGGAAAGCAACCCCACGACACCAAATCCCACTCTCAGTCGCTCGCTGACCAGCGACTCAAACGAGCCCAGCCGCAGCAACAAGCGCACTAGTCCTAAAAATGCTGAAAACTGACCACTTAGTTAGTGGCCTGCGTTGAAATAAAAGGCGAGCCGGTGAGGAAGTAAACTCAACGTCGCGGAAGCTACGAGGCAGAGGTAAATACATGAATCATTTCCGCCTAAATTTGAATTTTCCGGTGAGTGTAAAAATGCCTTGCGAGATCCTACAAATGTTCCAACCAACTTGGCGGCGTCTATCCAATTATTAACAGCAGTGACCCGGCCACACTGGTGGCGGTCCGCCAGCCCTCCAGGATCCGCTTTGGCTGAACTTAGCCCTTGGCATGATCCTAACGCTGCGACACGCTGTGCTCGTGGATTGCCTGGTGAGTCCAGTCTGAGATGCACCTGCCAGGCTCCAAGTGTGTTCACTGGGGTAGTGCTGCACTAAGTGCTCATCTACGAAGAATTTCTGAATATGTTACTTCTCGTTGAACTTCGAAGTGAGTACTTGGAGGCGCAGTGCTCGCCCTAAGAAGTGCACTCGAGCACATTGAAGTGACGCTATGGGCCGGTTCTCGAAGAAGTCCGAACTCCCTGGGGCAATTCGTGTCTGCGGAAGACACAGAAGAGTCGTGGCGGCGTGGGGAAAAGTGTGAGCGTGTGTGTGTCCTCCACCTCAGCTACAGACTGCCTGCTTGAGTCTGCATCGGGCTGCGGCGATTGCTTCAGCACGCGGTCCAAGTCGACCTCCTTATTAATAGAAAAAGCCAAAAATTATTAAAATATAAAATAATTTGTCGAATTGAGAGGTGAAATCAATTCGCATTTTCTATTAAGCTTCAAAGGAACCATTAGCGATGGAAGCTATGATGCTTGTCCGATTAGTCAGACTCAAATTGGCTCAGTCGCGTTTACACTGAAGCCTTTCGGGCATTGAATAAATTCCTGTTTCAGTATGCACTGCCTTGTTTTGGTATATCAAGCAGATAAAAATCAATAGCTTTGCAAATTACAACGGCATAATCCCCTTGACACTTTCCACCGCATGTGGATCAGATGGACAGTGATCGGCAAAGGTGGTGCTGTGCGTGGATGCAATTTTGCTTGAGCAAAACACGTGCTCAACCTCTGCGTACGCAAGGGCTTTATGGGAAAAAGCATTGCCCTCAACTCCCGGATGCCGGCTTTGGTCATCAATTATGTTAAAAGCTGAATGCATTATATCTGCGTACACAACACAACCGAAACTGCTGCTAACAGTTCTAATTAAATTAGTCTTTTTCAAACTTTTTTCTGTTTAGCGTGCTTTACTGCAGGGTGCTTGGTCCTATTTCAAAATATTTACCACAATGTACTTTTAATTGCCTCTTCTGATATTTTTTACGAACCTAGGGACAAAATGGTAGCCGACAGACGTTTGGCACTGATGTCTGGCGAAATTAGCATCATTTGAGACGTCAGCGTATATACTGGGTAAGCTTTAACTAAAACTTTTGATGTCCAGAGTTTGGGCTCAAATAAGTGCTTGATCAGTTTGTTAATCGTAAGTAGCGCGGACATTTTCCACGGTGGACGGTCATTCAAATAAGGCCAAAAATTAGTACAGTTTGTGAGTATTTTTCGTAAACGTACATCCGAATGAATGTTGCTCAGGGCGTGTTGCATCGCTGTACGCCTCTAACATGTGAGTCTTCGTAGTCATGTGACCACGTTTTCTTCTAGAACAAGCGAACTGCAACACTCGGACACAACTTACTAAAAATGACTGCTCGTGTTTCTTAAATATCGCACACACTGAATAACCGCAGGACCGCGCTCTCTTTCCTTAACCATTAAACACAAGTCACGCTTTTACGCTCTCTTAATATTTGCACCTATGTAATAAGTCAAATCTTTGAATTAACTTTTGGGCACAACATCCGCTATTCAAAATTGAACCAGCAGTGTTGCATGTTTTTTTTTCAGGTGGCAACATTTAACTCTAGCACTCTTGGCATTTTCTATTGTCCTGAAAGCGAAATGTGTTTAGTCATAGTCATGTCTACCGTTGTCAAGACGACGCCTTACCAATTGGCACCAACGCGTAGCTTTAAACGTGACTCAACGCAATAGCTGCTTATTTCCAGGTAGGCATAATGACCCACATACGCGCACGTTCTCAAATTGTTTTAGCAAAAGTCCCTTCCCCCCTCCGCATGCACACTTTAGCGCTCCAGCGCACGTGCGAGTGCGCACAATCGATTTGCGGCCACGCGCATGTAGGTGGCCAATAGATGGTTTGCGTGGCTCTTACCGGCCAATCGGATCTTTGAGCTGTGCTCAAACGCGTAAGCTCATGCGCATGCGTACACCCTTGCTCACGAGACAGTAGGATTGCGTACACGTACGCACAGGCCTCCGAATTACTGCACACACGCACAGTCACGCTGGGCCGTCTTTGCTTGAATCCCTGTCTCTCTCGAACTACCAGTTGGGGTATACTTTCACAATTTGGAACATACTGGCGATTGCGAGTCGACTACAATGGCCGTGGGCTACACCACCAACATCCCTGATAACTTCTCCAATTACCTCCTACAAGACAACTACGAATACAAGGTCAGTTTGCTGCTTTCTATCCTGCATATTCAACGAAATGTCATTTGTTAAATGAGGCATAAAATTTTGTTTCCTAATTTCCACGTGACTAGGCCAAAACACTCTTGCGCATCTAGGCCTGTCTTGACTTTGCAAAAAGCCTAATTAAATGTGAATATGTTTGTATAAATTAGAGTTATCTATGCGTTCAAGGCTGAAATCATGGAAGGCGAATTAGTCCACTATCCTTAAAATAAAATTTTTTGTCACTTTTGCTGATACCAATGGTAGTCACTTGCTGCTAGTTGCAGAATGCAGCCCCATGCTAAATTTACACAAAGCACTCCATTGAAATCATAAATTTTGGCCTACATGCATAGACCCCATATTACTGAAGAAATCTGCAGCATTTTCCCCATGCATCAATTAGTGCCTCCTACTCATTAATATGCCTGGGAACCTGTAGCAATGAATTACTTTTAAAATATCCAAAAAATGCATGCATCAGTGGAATAGGCTCGATTCAAGGGACCCGTCACCTGGCCACCGTACTGTGGAGTTCGACTTGGGCCTGTCTCACGCAAAATCATACCTGGTTAAGTAACCACCGTAAGAAAACTAGATTAGCCGGAAACAATCGCAATCACGGCGAAATAATTCAATTAAGAAGCACAGAGTGAAAGTATTGATTGAAATGTGTGCTCTGCATCGGGGTGTGTGGGTGTGTGCGACCACCTCTGGGCTTGTCAGGCGAGCGGAGGTCTTGTCTAGGGCTGACGGCCGCGTGACGCCACTCATGCCAGCACGGAACGACGTCGGCGCGTCTTTGGGTCCACCTCCTCCTTTGTCCAACCGACAAAACCCACTCACAAAAGGAACACAAAATATTTTACTGTTTAACCAAAAATTGATCCCGTAGAAAATGTTGGTTC